TATTATTATTATTATTATTATTATTATTATTATTATTATTATTATTACTTCTTCTTGTTTTTGTCATCCAAGTGGACTACACACACCGCTTATTTCAAGGTTTTCGGGAAGTTCTCCCCCTCTGGAATTTCCATTACTATCAATGCTTCTCCCGCAGAACATTCCTTAGTGCTGTTCTTGACCTTTTTGAATACACATCCTTAATAAAGACATCCCAAGGTGGGGGAGGAGAGGAGGGAGGAGCCGGGAAGCTTGGGAATTATTCTCTTAAATTTTGTCATCCACATACTGGGGGTGGTCTCTTTGTTAAAAATTTAGCCGTCCAGACCTTAAGGTCACGAGATTAATATTCCCTTGGGAATCACATGGCCTTTCTTTGAAAGAGCTGTCCAGTTTTCAGGCCCCACTAGGTAACTGCCCATTCAGAAACATAGCCAGAAAAGAATGTCGGTGTTTTCCGGCAGGTATAGGTGCCTGGGGGGTCAGAGAGAGAGGGAAAGGCAAGAGGTGGAGTGGGAGGCGGGTGATCGACAGGGATAGAAACAGTGTCTCCTCCTCCCACTGAATGTGAAATAGCCAATGGGGTGGCGCGGCCGGGCCGGCCGGGCGGCCAGTGCCATATAGTATGCAGCAACCGGAGGAGTCACGTTGGGGGAACGGCAGAAGGCAGCTATCCGTTTACACTACTTTGCTCTAGCAGCTATCTTAATGGTGACTGCGTGGCCTGGGGGAAACCTGATCGGCCAGATCCAGCCGAAACCGGGAGGGAGGGAGTGGGCTTTCCGGAGGGGGGAGGGGGAGGGAGACGAAGAAGGAGGAGTAAGAGAGGGGGAAAGAAAGAGGAAAAGAGTGCGAGGGAGTGAGGGAGGGAGGAAAATAAACAACAAAAAATGTCCTCTTCCTCCCCCACCGGGCAGATTGCAAGTGCGGCGGACATCAAGCAGGAGAATGGGATGGAAAGCGCCTCGGAAGGACAGGAGGCGCACCGAGAAGTGGCGGGGGGCGCGGCGGCAGGGCTGAGCCCCCCGGCTCCAGCTCCTTTCCCCCTGGAGCCGGGGGACGCCGCGGCTGCCTCCAGGGTAAGCCGGGAGGAAGGGGCAGCGGCGGCCGGAGCGGCAGATCAGGTACAACTCCACTCGGAACTTCTGGGCAGGCACCAGCACGCAGCGGCTGCGCAGCCCCCGCTGGCCTTCTCTCCGGACCATGTCGCCTGCGTGTGCGAAGCGTTGCAGCAGGGGGGCAACCTGGACCGCCTGGCTCGGTTCCTGTGGTCCCTGCCCCAGAGCGACCTGCTACGTGGCAACGAGAGCCTGCTGAAGGCGCGAGCGCTCGTGGCCTTCCACCAGGGCATCTACCCCGAGTTGTACAGCATCCTCGAGAGCCACAGCTTCGAGTCGGCCAACCATCCGCTGCTGCAGCAGCTCTGGTACAAGGCGCGCTACACCGAGGCCGAGCGAGCGCGCGGCCGGCCCCTGGGCGCCGTGGACAAGTACCGGCTGCGCAGGAAATTCCCCTTGCCCCGCACCATCTGGGACGGCGAGGAGACGGTGTATTGTTTCAAGGAGAAGTCGCGCAACGCTCTCAAGGAGCTCTACAAGCAGAATCGCTACCCCTCGCCCGCCGAGAAGCGGCACCTGGCCAAGATCACCGGCCTCTCCCTCACCCAGGTCAGCAACTGGTTCAAGAACCGGCGGCAGCGCGACCGGAATCCCTCCGAGACCCAGTCCAAAAGGTGAGCGCCAACTTTCCTCCTCCTTCCCCCCCCCCCCACCCCTTCCCAGCTTTCTTTTTCTCCAAGCGCTCGCAAACATGGCGCTTACCTTCCCCACCAGCCTGGTCCGGCTGCCCACCTCTCCCCGCCCCCCACCTCGCTTTCCCTACGGGGAGGGGGGGGGACGACGGTGGCTACGGGCGGGGGATCCTCCCTCCTAACCCTCCCCCTCCTGCCACCAGAAGTTTCTGGTCGCCCGCCTAGGTCTCAGTCTCCGCCCCCACTTCGCTGGTCACTGCTGCCCGGCTTCCCACCCCCATCCTGCTGCCTTTGAAGTTGCCACTTTCCTTGGTTCTTTTACGGAGGGTGTGCGCACGCCGGCTAGGCTGTTCTCACGGCGGCTCCGAGCCCGCAGGGGCTGCCGGCGCCGGCCGGGGTCTTTGGCTCCGCCGGGTCCCTGAGAGCCGGGACTGCGCCAACGCTCCAGGATACCCAGAATTCGACTGAGCCCCGGTCCTGCCCTGGAGGTCACCAGGGCCGCCCTGGGAGGAATAGGGGGCGTTAATGGAGACCGGTGGCCCAAATGGGGTCTGGGGACGTCGAGGCTTTAATATGACAGAGTTAATCATTCACCCTGCCCGCCTCGGTTCCCAGCGCGGCTAGGGCAGCGTAGGGTGCCGGTGCTGCTTGCCAATGCGGTGTTTTGAAACCTGATTCTGAACAACTTCGGATCGGGTTACAGTGCCACAGGGGTGGCAGGACTGAAGGGCAGTTTCTTGGGCCCCTGAACGCAGCATGATTCCCTCCTGGTGGGACAATTGGGAGATAAGGGACCAGCTGGCATAAGGTAGACAGCAGGAAAGAAGTGGGGGAGCTAGCCACTAAGTCCTCCTTCAGCCCCGACCCCCACTCTTTCTGGTTTGAACTTTATAGTCAATGCTTCCCCCCTCCCCCCCTTCTTTCGTAGAAAATGCAGTTTTTCAGCCTCTTTTGTGTGTCCGCTAATGTCATAATCTTGGCTGTACGTGCCTTTTGGGTGTCTGTGTGTGCTTGTGTGTATTCTTGTAGGGCGGGTAAAGAAAAGGTTTGAGGTTGGTGGGCCCCTCCCCATGGGGATTGGAGAGAAAAGAATCTACATGCAGTTCCAGTGTTCTGCCCTGGGAAGGAACCCAGGAGCCAGGGAGGCAGGCAGCTCTGCTGGGCTAGGTGAAGGTGACCACCCTGCGCATTCCAGAGCCGGCAGCAGCCCGCCCTCTGCTTTGCCACTGCGCCCGGGCGGAGCCCTGAGGCCCACAGTTCACCCCAGGCAGGGCGAGAGGCGCACTGTGCAGCCCTGACTCTGGCTCCCGGTAACCATAAACAAAACATTCCCAGCGACTTGCGAGCACCCCTCATCAGCCGTGAGAGAGGGAGCGACTTAGAGAAGGAGCACTAGTTAGGCGACCCCACCTACCCTGGAGTGCAGGCACACCGAAGGAGTCTGCTAGGCCAAGGCACTGGGTATGAAGCCGGTGCCACATGCAGGCCAGCTGTCCTGCAGCTACACACACTCTTGGCCACGCTCTGCTGACTTCACCCTCCTCCCCATTAACTCCACACCCTCAACCCCCAGCCCAGTTGCCTGGTATGGGCCCCTCTCCGGATCTACCTCCCACCCGCACCCCTGGTGAGTCACCCTCACCAATGGCGGCGACCGCTCAGCTCGTAAATCAAAGCGCTTTCTGCGCTCCCGGCCCCAAAGCCCAAAGCCCGGTAATCCCCTCCCCTCAGCTTGAAAGGGATCGGACCACACTGGATCTTCAGCTGGACCAAGTCCCACCAGGCCTGCGAACTGCTTCTGTCCTGCCCCGCCCAGACTCAGACCAAGTGAGGAAGACTGCCATCATTCTTCCCTGACCTGAACTTGGTTATTTCCCTTAAGTCCAGGATCCCGGCATAGAGGGACTGAGGACTCGGTGAAGGAGTTTGATAGTTACAAGGCCACTGAGTGATGCTCACCTTTTCCCTCTCACCTCACCAGGGCACCGGATGGTGTGTGTTAAATAGGCCCCTATGGCTTCCTTGGGATTCAAAGGCAACTGCACATACCTTGGGTGGCAAGTATCTTTCCCACAAGGGCAGCCACTTTATTGAATGAAAGTTGTCTGTCTGGTGGAGTATAAGTTTGGGAGCAGGTGAGAAAATTATCGCTTTTCAACTAACTGGCAAATAAAACTGAACACCTCACACCTCCTGCTCCTTTTGGAAATTCCATCTACCTTCAAAAATAACACTAATCTGAAATGGTTTAGAAAAAGGATGGCTTTCTTAAACAGGAAAAAACACATTAACATTTAATGAGTTGTTTCTATGGCAGAGGTAGCAGTCCTTTTAACATTAATGCGATAAGAAGGAAAGAAAACACAGTACTGAAGTTCTTTTGGTTGAATTTTACATTGTCCAACTCTCTTGTCTTTCTCTGGATTGATTTAAAAAAGAAAAATGTTAGGATCCGAATTCATGTTCTCATTGTCCAGCCAGGCAGAATTTACCTTGTGGTTTCAGCAGGGCCAGCAGGCATCTGGTGTGCTTTGCTTAAATACTACCTTTAGTGGCCTTGGAGGATGTTTTATAAGCTACGTAGATTGCCATCCCCTTGATGTTCAAAATGTCTTCTCCCCCTGAACAGTGAATCAGATGGCAACCCCAGCACTGAAGATGAATCCAGCAAGGGACATGAGGATTTGTCTCCCCACCCACTTTCGGGTGCATCTGATGGCGTCACCAACCTCAGCCTTTCTAGCCACATGGAGCCAGTATATATGCAACAAATTGGAAATGCTAAGATATCCTTAAGCTCTTCTGGAGTTTTGTTGAATGGAAGCTTGGTACCAGCGAGTACTTCACCTGTCTTCCTTAATGGTAATTCTTTTATTCAGGGACACAGTGGAGTTATCCTTAATGGACTGAATGTGGGGAATACACAGACTGTGTCGCTGAACCCACCAAAAATGTCTTCAAACATCGTGAGCAATGGCATAGCCATGACAGACATCCTGGGCTCTACCTCCCAGGATGTGAAGGAATTCAAAGTCCTCCAGAGTTCGGCTGTGAACTCAGCAGCCACCACCTCCTACAGCGCTAGTGCCCCCGTGTCATTCCCAGGGCTGATACCCTGCACTGAAGTGAAAAGAGAAGGCGTTCAGACAGTGGCCTCTCAGGATGGCGGCTCTGTGGTGACTTTTACTACACCAGTGCAAATTAACCAGTATGGCATTGTCCAGATCCCTAATTCGGGAGCAAACGGCCAGTTCCTTAATGGGAGCATTGGATTCTCTCCACTGCAGCTGCCCCCTGTCTCAGTAGCAGCTTCACAAGGTAAAAGCCTCTTTTGGTACCATAATGCACCAGGGCATGTGTTGGCTACTTGCTATAAATGATGGATTTAGTAGTGAATGCAATAGTTGTTATTGCCCAGACACACCATTGGTTTACGTAGTTAGAGAATAGCCTTGATGTGATTCCCAGTACCTAAACACTCTCCAGCTTGCCTGATTTTCTTACATCCTGGGGAGTGGGGTTTTAATTTCCTCAAATGGAATGGAAAAGTACAGTTTATAGGAGATCTTGCCAACTCTACAATTAGAGGAGTTATGATAAGTCAATCAGTGCTTATGAAATAACCCAGTACTTGACATTTTAAAATTAAAAATTAATAAAATTGCTAGGAACATAAAAATTAGTCAAGTAGTTATTTGACCAGAAAAACAAACGAACAAACAAACCAAAAAAAACCATAACGTTTTAAAAGAGTAAACTAAAAGGCAGGATCTATTCTTGTTTGCATCCTGTTCTTCCTACAGTTAATACTAAAACATAAAAGGACCTAAAGGAAATTTAGAAGAATATGTGCTTTTCTGTCGTTCTGGATGTATGTTCCTTTCTCAGCTGTGTGGGCTTATCGTTCTAAAACCAACTGCGTTCTCCAGCATTTATGGCTCTGCTAACAGCAGTCTGTTGGAGAAAGGAAATAAGCCTGAGGCTAGCACATCATCCTCAGGAACGTGAATCAAATCTGGATCACTTGTCGTTTTTTCACTGTAGAGAAACAGGAACAGTGAGAAGGCTGGGCATCGAAGCTGTGTAGCCCTTAGCTCTTAGAGGCAGGAACTGGTGGTCGTTATCCCTCCTGTAAGCAAGTCTGAAAGCCCAGGTTTTTACCAAAGGTCAACCTTCTGCAACACCGTCAGTTTTTATACAAGTATTTCAACTTATTGGAGGCATTAGTGAAAAATGGGTTGTACATTTCACTCCACATTTTTTTCCTCTTTATAAAAGGGAGAGAGAGAAAGCCACACTGCCTTGTAGCACACTCTTCAGTTGTTCTTTGCTCCAGGTTATGCATAGAGTTAACTCAAGTTACTCTAGGACAAAAGACAAATAATCCAGAGAGAGCCAAAGAGCTTAGTTTTACAATTATTTATGCCTCTAACCCATTTTCCCTCTTTATGAAAATTTCCAAGAAGTTTACAGCATTTCTGACAACAAAGTAGTACAGACAGTAGGAGTATATATGTTGGTAGGGGAGAAACACAAAAGGTTTTTCATCTGTAATTGAGAAAAATGCTGTCATAGAAAAGTATTATGAAGTAATAACTAGGATGGTTTGGGGGGGTTGTTGTTTTCCACTCCCCCCCCCTTTCAGTTTTTCAAGACAGGGTTTGTCTTTGTAGCCCTGTCTGTCCTGGACCTCATTCTGTTGACCAGGCAGACCTCAGAGATCGGCCTGCCTCTGCCTCCAAGTGCTGGGATTAAAGGCTTGCACCTACACCACCCAGCAATTGCCAGCTCTTAAATGGGATATTTACTAGGAATAAGAATAGCGTGGTCAGTTAAATTAGCTACGATCAAATGACCAGGCTCTTACCTCTTTGACTCTCTGGGCAAACTGAAGGCAGAAGTTTAACCAGAGGGTTCCCAGGAGGCAACATTGCTGTGTAGCAGTTGGGTAGTACACTTTGCAGGAAAGCATTTTAGGGATTTGAACTTTATTTGAAAAAGAAAACAACAACAACAACAACAACAAAAAAAAAAAAACAGGCCAAGATGGGTACTGTGGTAAATGCCCGTAATCCTAACACTTAGGAGGCTGAAGCCGAAAGATTAGGGTTCAAGGCCTGCCTGAACTACGTAGTCACTTAGAGCTACCTCCAAGTTAAACCAGGTTATGTAGTGAGAGTCCATCTCCAAACCAAATCAAGTCAACCTTAACACTAAACATTCTTTAAAATGTCCAGAAACACAGTCCTGTCTTCCTAGATAGCTGGGAAAGTTATATAGGACGTTACAAGGAAAAGCAGACAGTTTATATTTTTATTCATTTTATAATCAGAGAGTATTTGGGCTTTCTTGTTTGTTTGTTTGTTTGTTTGTTTGTTTTGTTCCTTAGCATTATTGTAAAATTATGCTTTGCACCTGGAGTTTTTCAGTTCAGTTTTTGTACTGATTTTTAAATTATTGTTTAATTTGTAACTTAGCTGCAGCTATATTTAAAAATCATGTTCTGCCCCAGCATGGTGGTACACACCTTTGATCCCAGCACTTGGGAGGCAGAGGCAGGCACATCTCTATGTTTGTGGTCAGCCTGGTGTACAGAGTGGATTCCAAGACAGCCAGGGCTATTTACAGAGATCTTGTCTTAAAACAACAAAATCGTGTTTTATGTCTGAGGCCTTGGGCTCAATCCCCAATACTGGGGGGGGGGGGGGGGGAGAAATCATCCTTTGGAATATATCTTGTTTTTTCCTTCATTTATATTTGCTAAAGTTTATTTTACATGTAGAGAGTGCATTGTTTTACGTGTTTTTACGTGTTTTTTTTATTAGCTGTTGGGGAAATGTCGAATATATTGCTATTTATGACTCTATCAAAAATAATCATTTTGTGCATGTCTGCTAGTAAACAGTCCCACTAACACATACCCAAAGCAAAGCAAACGTTGGTCGGCTTTTCCCTCCTTACAATTTTGAAGCCAACGTGGCTTTTAAAACGCACTTAAAACCAAAAGCTTTAAAATAGATTAGAGACTAACCCAACCATACACAGAACTGTTTCGTTCTGAACAGTCTTTCCACGGAGAATTACTTATTATGTATTAGTAGGTAAACATTTTTTAAAGGAGTTCAAATACAGTGTTTTCTCTTTTTTTTTTTCCTCATGTAAAGACACTCTTTTGTTTACATAAAATGCTTATAATGTTGAAAGGCATATAAATGGCACTTATTAACAGAGGTAGTGCTATTATCACAGTTATTCTAATAATTCAAGAAGGGCAATGTTGAGTGAATTACTTAATCTAATATTGGCCCATTTTCTGACTTGTAAAGGAGTTGATTAGACCCCTAATTCAAAAGGAGGATTGATAAGTGCTCCATCTTAATTCTTCCCCAGAAATCTCCCTAAATTCACCTTTCTCTCTGTGGTAATATTTGGGGACTTGAGTCATCTAAATTGCTGTCATTTCACTGTTCATTTTCAAAGATTCAAATGGGGGGTGCATTTGATGGAGATACGGGTCTGCCTTGTCCCAAGTTTCTCATTTGACCATCTATCTTCAGCTTGCGCTTTTTTTTTTTTTTTTTTTTTCTAGCCTCTACAGGCCATTAGAGAGCCTCAAAAGACACATGCCTTTTACAGAGGCGTTAATTCTGGTACTTTATGTGCTTCTGTACTTCAAAAAGAACGCTTCAGTGTTACCATTAATTTCTCCCATCACTACAACACTGAAGATTTAGAGGTAGCACAAGAAAAGGGGCAAGAAGAAGAAGAAAAAAAGAGCCTTCAGGGTTTTGTTGACTCAAGACTGCTTTATTGGTAGTTTGGTGGAGGTCTGAGACATGTCTGTACAGGCTGATGTGGTTAACTTGTAAATTCTGGAGAAACCCATTTTATGTGGTATTTTGGATGTTTTCATTTACGTTTTATGTCAGGACCTGTGCAGAGGTTTTTTTTTTTTGTTTGTGTTTGGTTGGTTTGGTTTGGTTTAGGTTTGTTGTTGTTTGTTTTTTGAGTCAGGGTGTCCCGGTGTAGCCTTGGCTGTCCTGGAACTCCATCTGTAGACCAGGCTGGCCTCGAACTCACAGAGAGCCACCTGCTTCTGCTCCCCTTTCCCCCACACACACTCCCCGGCTCCTAGTTCTCCACACCACCTGGCTAGTGCCGGTGCAGTTCTAACAAAAATATTTCCTTTTGCATCCATGTTTTCTCTTTCTGACTGACAGTGTTAGCAATCGCTACCAACTAAGAGACGCTAAGTCTGTGATAAAGACCCAGAAACTCCACACATCACAACTTGGACAAGATTTTCCTTCTTCTCTTTTTTTTTCCTTTTCCCTTGGTCTCAAGTTCAGTCGCAGGTCCCTCATACTTGCTTGCTTTGATTGGCTGTCTTGTATTTTTGTTTTAATTTGGGGGGATGCTGAAGATTGGACCCAAGACCTGCAGGTGTTCCACCACCGGACTCTGTCCCCAGGCCCTCCCCTACACATAACCTTCCAAGCCGCCAGCAGTGCCTTTTTTCGGTCTTAACAGCGACATGGGAAGTTAACAAATGCAGATGGTCTGTGGCTCAGTGGCAGAATTTGTGCCTAGCATGTGGAAGGCTCCGAGTTCAGTCCCCATCATTGCCATAGCACATTGAAGCAGCCCCTCTCCATAAATCCTATACTCGAGGAAAAACCGTGTGTGTTAAAGAAGTCATCGTTTGTTTGCTTCCCTTTCTGTGTCATTTTCATCAATGCTAACTGGTACTTTCTTCCCTAGGGAATATTTCAGTAAATTCAAGCACTTCAGATGGAAGCACATTTACAAGCGAGTCTGCCACAGTCCAGCATGGCAAACTTTTCCTGAGCCCTCTTGCCCCAAGTGCAGTGGTATACACTGTTCCTAACTCAGGCCAGACTGTAGGAGCTGTGAAACAGGAAGGCTTAGAAAGAGGCCTGGTCTTTTCTCAGCTGATGCCTGTCAATCACAATGCACAAGTGAATGCAAGCCTCTCTTCTGACAATCTCTCTGGCAGTGGCCTCCACCCACTGGCCTCTTCCTTAGTGAATGTGTCCCCGGCTCATAGCTTTTCCCTGACTCCCCCTACACTACTAAATCCCACTGAGCTAAACCCTGACATTGCCGAGAGCCAGCCAATGTCTGCACCTGTGGCCAGCAAATCTACTGTGACATCTGTTAGCAGCACTAACTATGCAACCCTTCAGAACTGTTCCCTTATCACTGGTCAAGACCTGCTGTCAGTCCCTATGACTCAGGCTGCCTTGGGGGAAATAGTTCCCACAGCTGAAGAGCAGGTGGGTCACGCCTCACCAGCCGTTCACCAGGATTTTGTCAGGGAACAGCGCTTGGTTCTGCCGTCGGTAGCTAACATAAAGGAGAATTTCTTACAAAACTCTGAGAACAAAGCAACAAACAACTTAATGATGTTGGACTCCAAATCCAAGTACGTTCTGGACAGCATGGTAGAAACTGTCTGTGAAGACCTGGGAACGGACAAAAAAGAGCTGGCCAAGCTCCAGACTGTCCAGTTGGATGAAGATATGCAAGACTTATAAGCCTGATTCACCACACAACACCCCTTTTCTCCATTATCAGCAGCAAATCTTCTCTTTGTGAGGCCCCAAAGACAGAGAGCTTTTACTCGTTTAAAGGAAACCAGTCTACTTCTGAAGCACATGCATTTGGACTGATCTGCATGAAGATCGTAGTCAAATACACAGGAGTGGAACTGCATTGCTGAGACCTTCCTATTCACATCACGGTTGCTCCTAAATAGATGGCGACAGGTGAACTGTATCAAACCATCAGATATCATTTAGTCAGCAATATAATTCTAAGGTCTAAATGAAACATGATAGGATTTTAAATTTAAAATGTATTCGCCTAAACTTAGAAAATTAAATAATAGCTAGAGGCTGTTGTTAGAAGCAATGCAGTTGTTTGTTTGTTTGTTTGTTGTTTACTTTTACTCCACGGGCATTGAGATGGTTGTGAAACAGTGGTACTCTAGACTATTGTAAGGGTATATTTTTCAAATTAAGTATCTCGTGTGTGTTTGTGTGTACGTACACACATTCATCGTTTTCAGCATTTTTGGGGGAAAGGCTTGGTTTTAGTTCTCTACCTGTTTCCAAATGTGATTGTTAGCAGTTAAATGTGGCAGAGAAAGTTTGAAACTCCACTAAACTCTGACACAACTTGGGTACGAATGTAAATATGCCAGTTCTATAAGCAAGATTTGAGTAAGTACAGTGAATTTTTATTTATATCACATATGTCTCTCTTCAGGCTCTGTGAACTGAAAAGAAAATTGTTTTCTTACTGTTTAATTTATATTTATTGTTTGAGCAGAAATAGGACATCTTAGTTTCCAACCAAGCTTTTTTTTTTTTTTTTTTTTGTGATTTTTGTCAGTAGTCTATTGAGGTCAATGTTGACACTGAAACAGGAACTCTTAACCCCCAAAACTGGGATTTTGGTTCTTCTCATCACATCCCTCTTTCTTTAGCAGGTTTGCTTCATTTAAATATGTTTTATATAGAATCCTATGTGCCTTTTTACCTTGTGGCCTTTTTATTACTAGTAAGGTACAGAAGTGTCAACAGAAGTGTGGGTGGCTCTTTTGTACTGTCAAACAGGGTTAAGTTTACTACAGCACCCCTTTATGTGTGGCAGACTTAAGTTTCACTAAATATGTGTAAGGTTTGTCATGCACATGGATAAACAATTATTGTTGATGCTTTATCCGTATAATGAAAGTAAAAGAATTATAGAAGACCATGAAACGGCAATTCTTCGGGCTATGAAAACAACTTGTTTTCTTTTGTTTTTGTTTTTCCCAAGGCAGGGTTTCTCTGAGTAATAGCCATGGCTGTCCTGGAACTCACAGAGATCTACCTGCCTCTGCCTCCTACCTACTGAGACAAAAGGCATGCACCACCACTACTCGGCTTGAAAACAATCATTTTAAAGTAAACAAAGTACATGTAAATTGTATTAAACAAAAATCCGTCCAGTTGGAACTCCAATCTCAGTGTTTTGAGTTGGTTGGTACACTATGATACAGACTGTTGCCTGCTCTATTTTATCACGTCTCCATTACAAGCAAATCCTTTGGGTTTCTGTACGATATTCTCTTGTATGATAATGTTGTGGGCTGTGTTTAAAAGTGTTCGCAGGACTCTGCATCCAAGATGTAACTATGCAAATGCCTTCATGTCATTAGTCCAGGGCGTCTCTGATTTCGGAAAGAAAGAAAGTGATCGTTTCCAAGGTGACTTTCCGTCGTCAAGAATAAAGACAGCAGCACATACCTTGCTTTCTTTAAAAGGAGGAAAGGACTGCTTTTTCTAACTAACGTGCTTATCGGCTGAGGCCGTGAAATAAGTCACCAGGTATTTATTTAGCATTTGCTGTTCTTACAAAGGGAACTTTCAACCTGGATAAAGAGCCCTCTGAAGAATTCCGTGCCCATCATTCTGATAAAGAACTTAAATCCCGGTTTTTTGTGAAACTGGTGAATGTCCCTCGGTTGCTGAAACGTTATTTGGCCAGAGGCTGTTTGTTTTGGAGCTACTGTTTTGTTTTAACAGAGCCAGTTGTTTCAGCATCGTCTTCCACTCTGCCACTACTTACACAGCTTGGTTGGCCCCACGTCCTGCCCAGTCGTGTGCTGATCATATATAACTGATTAGTTACACAGGCCTTGTAGTGTAGTTTACATACATAAAAAAGATATTTTCCACTAGATTGCTGCAGATATCAAGAGTCCATTATCTTCAAATACCTGTCTGGTAAAGGAAGTGGGAAGTCAACAAGTTATATGAGGGGTTTGTGTGTGTGTGTGTGTGTGTGTGTGTGTGTGTGTGTGTGTGTAGGAAAACTTACACACAAAAAAAGTATCTCTTTTATTCTTCCTCTTTTCTCCCTATGAAAAAGAAAAGATAGCACAAAACTAAGTACTTATCTAGGAAATGTATTCATATTCCAAAAGGATGAATTTCTAACCCTATAATTTCTCCAGGTAGCTGTACAATCCACCAAGAGTCAGTACACGTTATGAGAACGTACTGTTCTTTTCAGCAAAATAAGGGCCAGTTGCTATATAGCTCGTGTAGATGTGAATGGGAAAAGGTAAACCCCATGATCTCAGTGCACAGAAGTGCAAAGACTTTTTTTTTTTTTTCAACACTAAGGGTCGGCCTCAGAGCCCTTGGAGTTCATGTGGCAGGATATCCTTCTTCCGTGAACCATGAACCAATGCTTGAAGATGCCGCAAATTACCCTCTAGTGATTCCTGAAGAGGAATCGGATAGAGGTAAATAACTCCCTAGAAGCCCAACCCTGCTGCTGGCTGTGGGGTTTTTTTTGGTGTCAGCCTATCTATGCACTCTAGAGCCAGAATTGGCATTCAGCTGTTAGTTACATCAAGTAGAGAGAATGATCTAGCATTCAAAGGAGGTGCATTCATCCCCCCCCGAACAAGCAAAAGCATCTGTGTTGTACTATGTAACTATTGTCATGTATATTTATACTAAAGATTGACTTACACGTTTTCGGTGCCTTTCTTGTGTCGTGAAAGGCAGGTAGATGTTGTAGCTAAAGAAAACCCATAGTTGAACTGCACACTGACCTTACCTCTGTATGTGCCCTTGTTAGTCTGCATGTTAAAGTTGGATTATTGGCCATTTGTAGCGGACTACCTTGCTACATCCTCAGTATGTGCACATTAGTACGTAACCGCGAGTCCTTCATTCTTTAAAATCTTTGATCATCTCATAAAAATAATTCAGGAAATCTGTGGGGAAAGCAATTATAATTTACAAGAACTGTTTCAAAGTCTTCCTAAAATCTAGGTGGTAGAACCTAATGGTTATTTTATGTCTAATTGATACGTTTCATTTAATTAAATGTTACCACCTTATGTTTTGTTTTGTTTTTTTTTTATTAATCAAAGTTATATAGCATGTGACTTTTGGCTTTCAGGGTTTCTCCAAGAAAATGTATCATTTTGTTGCATGTACTGTACATTTAGAGGCAACCAGTTGTACACTCGATATGGTTTTACTGTGCCTTACATGAAGAGAAACTCTATACAGAATGTATGACATGGGGTGGGGAACAGAGCCTCGACTGCACTGTTAGATGAGAGCACACAGCATGTCCCAGAACATTTCTGTGCTTAACTACCCAACCAAAGAGATCTAAAGTATGTATGTTGTACTGTAATGGGGGGTTATGCCTGGACAATTACGTGTTTTATTTGTTTTCTGAAATGATGTGAACTTATTTTTCTAAACACTATGCTAAATAAACTTTATATTTATACATACTTGGTGTTGAAAAAAAGAGATTGTTTGGGGAATACTGGTCTTTGAAATGAGGGCAACCCACTTCAGTCGACAAGAAACAGGACATGGTTTTCATGTTTGCCTAGAAAAACAAAGAGTAAGAAAATGCCAATATTTCAGCTGGAAAATACTTAGAAGGCCAATTGGAGTGATTCTGGAAAAGTAATCTGTGTTGGTCTTTGTACAGAATTATGTAACTCGCTTAGCTGTACTGCGTTCATACTCAGAGCTAAACCACAAGAGTTTAGAGACAGGTAGACTCAGTGGTTTCCATCTCCCAAGAGCTGCACATGGACTATGGCACAGAGTAGACACTGTAGGATTACACTGAAAGGGGCAAAGACCCTTCTGTCACGGACGTGATTAAAATTGGAGTTCTGTTGCTCACCCCTGGGCCACTGCTGTTAACAAAATTGTGATTATACCCCAATTTGGCAAATAGCTTTGGCCAGAGCTGTGTTTCTGTTGAGTAGAGAAGATGGAGTGTTAATCCTGATTTTATAATCACATAAAGTCTGAATTCTATTCTTACACATCAGCCCAGGAGATGTTTAAAAGCCGTATCGGGAACCAACTGTACATTTGTTTTTTTTAACGAAGCTAGTTAAAGGCATCAAGTTAGTGTCAGGTGGGCTGTCTAGGCACATTCTTGTCATTCAGCTCATTTGGCAGTGTTCTGCGTAGGAGTTAAACCAGTTCAGCACGAAGTGAAGTGATTACACTTCATAACTTCTTAACCAAAACAAAGTACTGTGAAACATTTGAAAGGTAGTTGCCTTTTTCAAGACTTGTTTGTGGCTCCTCCAAAACCGATCACTTAAATTCAACAGGAATTTAAACTGCATTTCCAGTCTCCCATAAGAAATACTATATATAGAAATTTGCCTCTGCAAATCCACCCCCAGGACACCTTAGTAGCATATAAGCAATACAGTCCCACGGGATGTCAGTACAAGGAGCAAAGAGAAATGGAGTTGCAAGTGGGTATTGTTGGGTGGGTGACAGATTGGACAGGAAAGCACCATTTCATCGGTATGATTCAGAACCAAGACTGTTCCAACTTGAAGGACAGACAGCAGCTAGGAAGTCCCTGGCTGAGAGGCAGGTCTCAATTTCAATGTTAACTTTCGGCATCAAGAGAGAGGATCCGCTCGGAGAGATAAGCAACCTCAAATGTGGCGTTGTGGGGCCAGCACCAGATACTTTGGATTTGAGTCTGACAAGACCCGGGTGGTTTTGAAGCAAGGAGTCATATAAGGATTTGCACTTTTAAACATCAGTGTGGCTGCTCTGGAAAATGAATGTCAGGAAGACAAAAGGCAGGAACTGGGAAACCATGGCCAGGTTGCACTGAGTTGTGAGACAGGAAATAGATCAGGATCGGGAGCCCAGGAGCAGCAGGGAGGGCCATTTGCCCACAAAGGTCTCCAAAATGGAATGTCCTCTAAGCAGTCCATTGCAGCAGGCCAAAGCCACTCTGTCCTGTTAGGCTTTGATGTTGGGGATTGAACCAGGCTTGTACATGCTAGACAAGTGTTCTGTTGAGTCCCTCAGTCTCCAAATCTGAGTTAATTTCTTTTCCCTTGCTTTCCTCTCTGCATCCCTCACTTGGGCAACATTTTACAACTACATGGATATGGGACATTCAG